ATAACTTGGTTTATATAAAAACAAGCTATTAAATAGCTTTGTTTATGTAATTTAAATAAAACAAATGTACTAATAATAATGTTTATTTAATTGTACATATATTAAAAAGAATAAAAAATATATGTATTTAAAAATCATAAAAAAATTGCAAGTATATTAAAATATTAGATTTTACTATTCATATATATTATTTGGTATGTAATAAGCATATAGTTCCTATTTAGAAAATAAAACAATCCTAGTAGCATAATAATAATTTTTAAAGTAATAATAGTAGTGATAATAACAACATTAATTATATTTTATGCCATATTTACAAACATACAATAAGTAATAATGACTTGTAATATGTTGTGTTATTATGTGCATATACATTTTACATATAAGAAATAAAAAGTATTAGGTTAAAATATTGTTAGTTTTATAAGTGTAGTATTAATATACAGTTGTTCAATATTAAAGTTTAATTTTTTATATATTATATTTTTATTATCATAATTGTAACAAATTAATTTATAAATTGGCTTATTTTTATGTAATTTAAATAAAACAAAAGTACTACTACTAATAATGTTAATGTAATTGTACATGTATTAAAAATCATTTTAAATATATGTATTTAAAAATCATTAGAAGATACAAGAATATTATAATATTAGATCTTGCTATTCATATATGATACTTGGTATGCAATAATCATATAGGCACTTAATATTTAGAAAATGAAGCAATTAATTGTAAATTGTTAATTGTTTCAAATCACTGTGGTCATATTAGGGCTGCACAATATATTGTTTCAGCATCGATATCGCAATGTGTGTGTCTGCAATAGTCACATAGCAGGATATGCAATGTTAAGTTGGGATTATAGTCGATCAACAATTAAGTGTACATGAGATTTGTGTTTAATTTCAGCGTATAACCATAACAGAGAAAAACTTTATTATTTGCATGTGTTTTACAGGCACTTCAAGAAAGTGTAAAGCATTCAGGCACAATAACAGAAACATTTGTAAATTTATTGAAGAAAAATGTGCTGATTTATTGACAAAATAAACTATACAGTGTTATTTTACATTACTAAGTTTCTAAATTTGAATACTGTTTGACTCTCAAAAACCATAAAGAACTTAGTTTTTTTTGCTCTATTGTAATTATTCTTGCAATTTTATCTTATTACATGATTCACACCCTTACAAAATCAACCCAACCAATCTAAATAAATGCTTTTTCACAAATGGAGCTATTCAAGTCATCTGTCAAAATTGTTTTTCATATCGCAATATATATCGCAGCAAAACAAAGTATATAAACAAAAATATTCAATATTTCCCAAATGATGTTAAACAGAGCAAGGAAATTTTCACTATGTCTGATAATATTTTTTTATTCTCGAGAATGTCTTATTTGGTTTATTTCAGCTATAATAAAGGCAAGAATAAGGCTAGAATAAAAGTTTTCATTTTTTTTTAAAGCCATTTTAGGGTGAAAACTTTTTAGCCCCTTTAAGCAATTATTATTTTTTGATAGTCTACAGAACAAACCATCGTTATAGAATAACTTGCCTAATTACCCTAACCTGCCTAGTTAATCTAATTAACCTAGTAAAGTCCTTAAATGTTACTTTAAGCTGTATAGAAGTGTCTTGAAAAATATCTAGTCAAATATTATTTACTGTCATCATGACAAAGATAAAATAAATCAATTATTAAAGATGTGTTATTAAAAATAATATGTTTAGAAATGTGTTGAAAAAAATCTTCCTTCTATTAAACAGAAATAGGGGGAAAAAACAGAGGGGCTAATAATTCAGGGGGGCTACTAATTCTGACTTCAACTGTATGATTTTTTTTACATTTGTATTTATGATTTCACATTTTCAGCACATTTCCTTTTCCTGTCTTTCAGACCAGCTTCTTTAGTTGTGGCAGACTTCGGTTGTGGAGACTGTAAAATTGCCCGGAGTGTCAAAAACAAAGTACATTCTTTTGATCTGGCTCCCGTTTGTGAACTTGCCACTGCTTGTGACATGGCCAAAGTAAGCTATCATAGTAATAAAGCTTTGATTTGCAATGCAGCCAAAAGACATAAAAGCAGCTCTGCTCATTTTCCCAGGTTCCTCTTGGTGATTCTACTGTGAATATTGCTGTTTTCTGTCTTTCTCTGATGGGGACGAATCTGGGAGACTTTTTGGCAGAAGCAAACAGAGTCCTGGTGATGGGGTAACCGGCTCATTTTATAATCCGAAACCATTATAAGTCTGTGGTGAACCATAACAAAACCCTTTTCTTTCTTTCGTCTTATACAGCGGGGTTCTTAAAATAGCTGAAGTGGCCAGTAGATTTGAAAATGTGCATTCATTTGTTCGTGCATTGTCAAATATGGGCTTCAAGATCGTCAACAAGGTAATATACTTTATTTGAATCTTAAATTCACCTTCAATTGCTAAAAAGTGACGCTAAAGACATTAAAAATATTTACAAGGACATGTTTAGAAACACTTTATTTAAAATCAGATATATTTCAGATAAATCTATTTTTTTAAAAGATTTTGTTCGCCACAATATTAATGTGTAATTTACAGAAATCTATTTTTGGTTAAATAAGTTTTAGCCTTGGTGAGTATGAAACCTCTTTATAATCAAAAAAGTATAAATACAGTGCATCCGAAAAGTATTCATAGCGCTTCACTTTTTCCACATTTTTTTATGTTACAGCCTTATTCCAAAATGGATTACATTTAAAATTCTGAAAATTCTACACACAATACCCTATAATGACAATGTGAACAAATATTTTTTAAATTGTTGCATGTGTCTGTACATTGCTGCATTCATCTTTCGCTCTATCCTGACTAGTCTTCAAGTTCCTGCTGCTGAAAAACATCCCCACGGGTTGGATTGTATTAGCCTGGTGTTGAGCGGTACCTGGTTTTCGCTTAACGTAACGCCTGGCATTTACTCCAGAGTTAAATTTTAGTCTCATCAGAGCAGAGAACTTTGTTTCTTATAGTCTGAGAGTCCTTCAGATGCCTTTTGGCAAATTCCAGACAGGGAGTGTCTTTTGTCTGGCCACTCTACCATACAGGACTGATTGGTGGATTGCTGCACAGATGATTGTCCTTCTGCAAGGTTCTCCTCTCTCTACAGAAGAACGCTGTAGCTCAGACAGAGTGACCATCGGGTTATTGATCACCTCCCTGAATAAGTCCCTTCTCTCCCGATCACTCAGCTTAGATTGCCGGCCAGCTCTAGGAAGACTCCTGGTGGTTTTTCAATTTCAAAAAATCATTTTTTACATTGTCATTATGGGGTATTGTGTGTAGAATTTTGGGAAATAAATAAATTAATTTTGGAAAAAGACTGTAACAAAAAATGTGAAAAAAGTGAAGTGCTATGAATACTTTTCGGATGCACTTTATCATCACCAAAATATGCATATGAAAAATAAGAATAAATACTGTAATGTAATAAAGCTTAGTGTTTATTTGACTCTTGTTATGTTTTGATGATTGAGTCTTAAGGATTAGGAGATATTATCACCATAATATGCATATAAAATATTAACAAATACTGTAATATTTATAAAAGTGTTTTTGACTCTTGATATGATTTGATAATACAATCTTAGAATTCAAGATATCTTCACCAAAATATGCAAATGAATAGGGCTGCACAATATTAGAAAAAACTGACATTGCATTTATTTTTTCTGCGCTATATATTGCCATATGAATATAATTTCTTAAGATAAGTCCATTTGGAAAGAATTCATGATTTTATGTTGATTGCGATGGTTTTGTAGGGGGAGTGCATGTACATAAAAATGTACAAAATTATTTTGGTCACTTTATTTTGATGGTCTGTTTGTTGAATTTAAGTTACATTGCATCTACATACCAACTAATTGTCATTAGATTATAAGTAGACTGTTAGGGTTGGGTTTAGGGTTAGTGTAAATTGACATGTACTTGCAGTGTCTTATAGTCATTTAAAAGTCTGTTGAAGGAGCAGATCAACAGATATTACGCAGATAGTCTGTTTATACTCAAATGGACCATAAAAATAAAGTGTTACCATTATTTTAGAAATATTTACTAAATTAAATCAACAGCACTTTATAACGGAGTCCAACAGTATTAAATTACAGAAAATCAATAATCTAAAGTAAAATCACACAGCATAGTTTTCATTGTATAAATAAACACAATTGATTTTTATTAAAGTGGCAAAATTTATCATTTCTTGGGTCAAAATGGTTTAAATTCACTTGAAATCGCTTGAGAGCCAGCGATGTGACTATTGTAGATTTCCACATTGTGATATATCAATGTTGGAATGATATATATTATTCAAATAACAAATCTAGTAGGAATATGAGATATTATCACCATAGTACACATATTAAAATCATAATAAATACTGTAATACATAACGATACTGAAATAATATTGAAGTAGAGCTGCAAAAAGTCATTTTGAAAGCAGTTAATTTCAATATAGGCCTACTGTTTATTTTAGATGATTGTGCGAAACATCCTGTTAAAAACTGCCAAACATGCAAATCCCGCTGTCTATTCAATCGTTAGCATAATCTCCTCCTCAATTATCATAAATGATTGTTAGTTGCAGGTCTAATGCTGTATTAAGGGAAGGAAAGTCAGGCCAAATTGTGCAGTGTTGCAGACTACAATTGTGCTGTTCTGCAACTATGGGGATCAATAATGGAATATATTAACAACAACAGCAACACTTCTTCGCTTTTCAGTACGCTAATGGAGATAGCAACAGATAATAATTTAGTGACGGACGAGTGCTGTTTACAAGCTATTTATTTGAGCTCATTTTTCATTTAGGACACTGAAAACAGCCACTTCTTCTCCTTCGAATTCATAAAGACCAGAAAAGCACCGGAGAACGCAAAGAAATTTGGACTTCAGCTGAAACCTTGCCTGTATAAAAAACGATGAATGTGTTAAAACCGATGATGTTGTCTTTATGGTTTATGGACTGTGTATGAAAGCAATAATGCAGATTTTCTTAAAGCTGCTGCTTTAAGTCAATGTACAAACCTGAGGCTGATTTTTTATTAAAAAAAGAATTGAATGTGATAATTGAGGAACTTTTGTCATTTGTGAAAACAGTTAGAAGTTGTTTTATAGCCTGCCTGATAAACAAACAGACGTACTATGTATGATTACATGTGCAAGTATTTTATTGTTTTTAAATGTTTAACACAGTGACATTAAATTCCCATTGAGGAAACTAAATGTTCCACAACAAAACATCATTTAAAAAAATACAGGACAGCCGTCATTCTGATAGACTGCAAAGGTAATAAAAATATGAGTAGAAGGCTGGACAGAAATCACAGTTGTTGATTTAGAAAGGCCAATACATTTTTTCTTTATGCAGTGGCACATTGTGATCAGCAGAGAGCGCCATTACAATTCACATTCAGTCAGGTAATGAGGCGATACAAGTCTAACTGAAATGGTGAAAAACAAGACAGAAGACACCAGCTAGATCATTAAAGTACAACTTTATACTAAAAAGATAATAAACCCGTATAAGGTGTGCGCAAAGTATTTATCAAACAATGCTACATGGTAATAATCACAGTAAATCTTAATGCTGAAAGCGACTTAATTCACAGATATTGCCCCACCATCAGTATTCATGATTGAGGAATCAGAACAAAAGGATATCAGAAAGTACTGAAGACATTTTTTCCAAATTTGAAAATAAAAATGGTGTAATTTGCGTTTTTTTTGTGTAAAATAATCAAAATGTGTCATGGTTGTTTGTTTATATTTGTTTTAAACCACAAGATACCGATTTTAATTTCCGAACAGATAATAAATCGGTATTTCGAGGAATAACACTGATTTTCAATCACCACTCAAATCAAAACATTAGTTATTTTTGAAATTTAGAAGAAATTGTATCAGACGAAAACAAACAAAATAAAACCAATGTAAACATTTTACAAAAAGTGCTCAATATTGAAAAGTACAGTCATTTGTTTTGTTTGTTTTTACAAAATGAAATAATATATTGATGAGTGTGTTTTTAAACTCGAGATGGACTAAATCTGTCATGTATAAGCTTCACAGTAAAACTACCATAACAGGGAAAATAAGCATCATGTTTTTTTCTGAGAACAATATTTCTAAAGGAGCTGTTGACATGGAATTGAACCAGATTTTAGTAAAACCCCAAACAATACAAACAAAAACAATAAAAAACAAAAAACGATGAAATGACACAAGGAGAAAATACTGAACTACTAAAATGTATGTAATAACTTTTTTTATGATTTCAGCTTAAAGATGCCTCATATGGAGAATGAAGTCAAATGAATTGCTCATGAATACACTTAATCTTGATGGTTTTGTGGATCTCGTCAAATCTGATCTTTATTTAGCATTTTATATTGGATTCAAGTCAGGTGATTGGCTGGGCCATTCTACAGCTTGAGTTTCTTTATTTGAGAGTTTCCTTGGCTGTTTTGGATCATTCTCTTGCTGAAATGTTTCTTCTTTATCATCCTGGTAATATAGATGTTGGACTGAAGCAGCTAATATTCATTTACAATAACAAAGGGCAGAGGGTTGCTGAAGAACTACTGAGAGATTTCAGCAGCAGTCTGAGCTTTCACTGCCTTTCTACAGCTCTCTTTCTTCATGTGTTCAATACTTTTCCCTGTGTCATTTCATTTTATTACACATAATTTGTAAACTAATTACCTTTTTTTTGCATATATAGATTTCTTTAGTTGTTACCAACATCTGGGGAAAATTTCAAGTCGATAGCACTTTTAGAAATATGTTTTCTGAGAAAAATGGTGATGTATTCAATACTTATTTTCTCCACTGCATATATAGCGGTACGTCTGAATTTAAAAGTACCAGGATAACTACATGGTGACTTTAGCACGTCCTGATTACATTCATACTACACACTTACATATTATACCCAACATATGCTTTCAGTGATTACATACTGGAGACTGTGGTTTTAGACGCAGTTCTTCTTTTTCATTTAATCCCCTTAGTTCATCTACAGAACACAAATGAACATATTTTAGATGAAATTCAAGATGTCTCTGGCTCTCCCCTCCATATACAAGTCCTGTATATTTTGTGTACCTAAAACCTGTAAAAATGACTTTGTTTGCCAATGCGAGTATTTGACTTAAGTACTTAATTTTACCTGTATTAATCAAGTAGTAGTCATTTTTTGTGCACAAAAGTTTTCGTGGAGCTTCATATGATTTCTGTTGAACCGCTGAAGATGTTTTGGTTGCTTTTCTGCACTTTGAGTGTCTCGGACCCTTGCTGTCTATGGAGGTTAGAGAGCTCTAAAATGTCATCCAAAATGTCTTAATTTGTTATTTGAAGGTAAATGAAAGTCTTGGGGATTGGATCAACATGAGGGTGAGTAATTAATAACAGAATTTTCATTTTGGGTCGAACAAACTGTTATAGAATCATTTGTTAAATCATTCCTTAAAATGATTCATTCAAAGCATCTGATTCTTTTAGAAATGAAGCACTGAATCACTGACTTATATAATTCATTCAAAAACAACATTAATTCAGAAGTAAAACGACAGTATAGCAGACAAATGCACAAATGTTCAGCTCAGAATCTATTTTCGTCTACAAAATAAAAACAATATTGTATCTAAAATGTAGCTCGCTCAATATTCAGTTTGTTGAACTGCTGTTAAACAATCAGGCGCTCTTCACACTATGTATAAAAGACAGCATGTGACCACTAATATCACCATTGCCAATAATTCCCTCTCTTCATCACTAATAAATGCTTCATTCACATGATCACTTTAACTAAAATTGATGATATTTTCTTTTACATCGTGTGCCTTCAAGATGGCATGAACTCCAAAACACTCTAAAAACTTAAATGTTACCCTGGAAAAACAAACAGGTGCATCACACGGTGCTTTTGGCATCAAAAACAATGGAATAGTGGGTGAGCTCAGCATATTGGCCGGCCTGGCCTTGAAGAAGCGCCCTCTCTGAGCAGCGAGGGTCCTGCATCAGAGCGGACAGAGACTCACGATCCATCCTGGTTTTCTTTGAAAAAGGCAAAAAGAAAAATAGAATCACAATACTCGAAATAAAAAAGCGTAATAAGTATCTTATTGGACAAACTTTTGAGTAACACTTTAAAATACGGTCCTATTATAATTAGCCATAATTTTTGCACAGCTTATAAGCTATAATGCTTGATTCTGATTGGTCAGTCACAACTTTCAAAGGTATGTCAGATAACAACCGCTGAAACTAATAACACAGGCTCATCCATGTACGATGAATGATTTTGACCAATAATGAGTATATTCTTATACACATTTATATGATCATCTATCATGTCACTGTTCTTTACCGAATAATGTGTAGATTAGTGTGGGCTGCATTCAGCATTTTATCTTTCTTTAAGCTACATGTTTAGTTAAAGAGTTAGCCAATTATTACCAGTGTTTTGTGTAATTGTTCACTTTTGTGACAAGTAGCCATGTAATAAGTTTGTGTATTGTACATCTAGATAAAGCCCTGCAGTCTTCCGCTTTATTTTGGTCTACTTATAAGCCTGTCAGGCTTTACTCTGCAAGATGTGCGTTATGGAATGCAGATTAGGAAAATGTTCCTAGGACTACATTTTTGAGAACCAAAAAATATGTGCTCGTGGGTACATATGGCTGCATTTTGTGAGTAAAACGAAGCCTACTGGGTAACACTGCTGATTGCTTACCTCCATATGGACGGCTTTTTCAGCATGACTAGTTTTCTTGGTAGTTTTGATGAATAGCGGTCCGGCGAAGGATAGTTCCAGAAACCAGGTAAAATGTAACCCCAAAAAAAGCAGCATGAGGTCATGGTAGAAGCATACAGCTGCAATGGCTTTACTATTCTAGTTTGCTTTTGAAAACAATATTGGTTGGGTTAAGAGAAGGGGGTTGGATTGGTCAGTCAATATCAAGCTGATATACTCTTCGGCCACTTTATTATGTCTAACTACCCAATGCAAATGTCTAATTAGCCAATCACATTGCAACCACTCAATGCATTTCAGCATGTAGACATGGTCTAGACGACCTGGTGCAGTTCAAACTGAGCATCAGAATGGGGAAGAAAGAAGATTTTAGTGACTTGGCATGGTTGTCGGTGCCAGATGGGCTGGTCCGGGTATTTCAAAAACTGCTGATCTACTGGGATTTTCCCACACAACCATCTCTAGGTTTTACAGAGAATTGGCTGAAAAAGAGAAAATATTCAGTGAGGGCAGTTCTGTGGGCGCAAATGCCTTGTTGATGCCAGAGGTCAGAGAAGACTGGCCAGCCTAGTTCGAGCTGATAGAAAGGCAACAGTAACTCAAATAACCATCTGTTACAATCGAGGTCTGCATTAGGGTCTGCAGAAGAGCATTTCTGAATGCACAACACGTCCAACGTTGAGGGGATGGACAACAGCAGGTGTCACTCCTGTCAGCTAAGAGTAAACTGAGGCTACAATTCACACAGGCTCACCAAAATTGGACCATAGAAGATTGGAAAAATGTTGCCTGGTCTGGTGAGTCTTGAGATTTATGCTGCAACATTCAGATGGTAGGGTCAGAATTTGGCGTCAACAACATTAAAGTATGGATCTTTCCTGCTTTGTATCAACAGTTTAGGCTGGTAGTGGTGGTGTAATAGTATGGGGGATATTTTCTTGGCACTTTTTGGGCCCATTAGTAATTGAGCATTATGTCAACACCACAGCCTACCTGAGTATTGGTGCTGACCATGTCCATCCCTTTATGACCAGTGTACCCATCTTCTGATGGCTACTTCCAGCAGGATAACTTGGCATGTCATAAAAGGTGAATCATCTCAGAATGGTTCCTTGAACATGATAATGAGTTCACTGTACTCAAATGGCCTCCACAGTCACCAGATCTCAATCCAATAGAGCACCTTTGGGTGGAACAGGAGATTTGCATCACGGATGTGCAGCCGACAAATCTGCACCCACTGCATGATGCTATCCTCTTAATTTGATCCAATATCTCTGAGGAATATTTCCAGAACCTTGATGAATCTATGCCACGAATAATTAAGGTAGTTCTGAAGGCAAAAGGGAGTCCAATCCGGTAATAGTAAGGTGTACCTAATAAAGAGGCCGGTGAGTGTATAATGCATAACATCAAGCCAACCGGCTTCTTTTACAGATGTGGACAAGAAAGATGTTAAGATTTGCTAAAAATGTATGCAGCAGCCTTTGGTAGATTTATGAGAAATTGTGCATGTGAGAAAATGTGCCCCATGTTCTTGAGATTGTCAAAATTGTAAGAGACTGCAAGAAAATGTGCTCAGGGTACATATTTGTCGGTTCTCGAAAACTTTAGACCTCGGCATATATTAACAATAAGTCTGGGTTGACATTATGCTGTTTATAAATAAAAAAGCCATATATTTAGCCATATATATAACTGTTGATTGTTAGTTAATGTTAGCTCCATTATAAGCATAATAAGTCCATTATTTGGGAAGATAAATTTTTATTTTCAGTTTTGGCATTATACAATTACTAAAAAAGATGTGATAACTTCCGTTTTGGCGACCCCGAATTAATAAAGGGACTAAGCCGACAAGAAAATTAATAAGTGAATAATAACTTTCGTTTTTCGAAAGTAAAGCATTCTTCTTTTTTTCAGAGGATTTTTATATTTTTATTAAATATAACTGATAAACCATTACAACCATTACAAGACCTGTTGTGCACTGAGCTAGCTACAGCTTGTGCTTTTAACGAGTCATGTTCACATTAAATCAACTTACTTTTAAAAACTACATTACCCAGGATGCTCTAAAGAACATTCCACCAACTAGAGATAACACAACTGTAGCTTTGCCCAATGTCATAAAGCATTGCAAATGACATAATCAGGTTTGTCTATTTGTGCTCTCAAAATACTTATTTGTATAAATTTGTGTATTTTGTATAAACTTCTTTGATACAACAAACTTTATAGGAAGTTTTTTGCAGACATTTTAAATTCAGTTGTGCCATTTGCAATTCTTCATAGGATTGTAGTTATTTTCCCTCATAAATGGATAGTTCACCCAAAATAAAATGCACTTACTATTTACTCGACCACACGTGCTACTTTTATGAGTTTGAACAGAAAATGAGATATTCTGAACTGTTCAAAACATGTCACAACTGACATCCATGGTAGGAAAAACAAATACTATGGAAGTCAATAGTTACAGGCTTTCTGCATTCTTCAAAATATCTTCTTTTGTGTTCACAGAAGAAACTCAAACAGATTTGTGAAGGCAATAAATGGTGAAAGAATTTTTAGGTCTGGATAATATTGCATATATGCAGTAATATTTCATTAATATTAAGAAATGTCTAATTGTAAATGAATATATAGATCTTTATTTCAATGTAAAGCTCATGTTTACAAATGGAACCTTAATGTAAAGTGTTACCAACTCCTGTAATAATGCAGTCAAATCTGTCCAATTACCTGTTGTGAAGAGTGACTGTTCCCACATTTGCTGGAAAGCAAAAAAAGATCAAGAATGTTGTTATGAGAAGAAAAAGCCACAGATACTCTCCCATTTTAAATTGTCATCAATCTCCACTGCTGAGACAATCTGTTTGTGTCGCGTGTGTAGCGACTCTTGGTTCGTGTGGTTTTTTTAATCTGCCAGCCTGCAGAAGCCACCGTATATCCTGTTTATGAACACTATGCATGTCATTGGTCTAGGTAAGCTACCTTACTTCCTGTTTGCCTCCACTAATCTCACCTGTATGGTAGTATTTCCCCCCAAAAAGTTACACAACAACAAAATCTTATCTAAGCTTGTGAGAAAGCATTTGTACTCACCAGACGACAAACAAAAGGATGATCAAGATGATGGAGATGGCAGCAGCCGTCGTGAAGCAGATAGTGATGAATATTACTGTGGGAACAGTTCATTCATTCTAGTGCATTATATGTGTATTATTCCCATGTTGATGACTGATGAGTGCTGAACTTACGGTGTTGAGTCTCTTCACTTGTTACGTCCACACGAAGGAAGACTTTGGCCATGTGGTGATGATACGAGACATGGCATATGTACAGTCCTGTGTCCAGTTCGGATGCTGGGGCTGTAAAAACCAATGCCATGCCGACTGTGTGTGCTGCTGAGCCGTCCTCTCTGAAATAAGATGTGTTTAGAGGAACGTCTCAAAGACCACTGATATTTTGGTCCCCAAGAGTTTTGTTTATCTATCTATTGGTCTGTTTAATGTCTTTCCATGCAACAATCATTTTGTCCTTCATTCCATCCCTTGTTTTGTTCATCTATTCATCTGTCTGTCTAGTGTCTTTCCATCCATCCATCCATCCATCCATCCATCCATCCATCCATCTATCTATTTATCTATCTATTTATCTATCTATCTATCTATCTATCTATCTATCTATCTATCTATCTATCTATCTATCTATCTATCCATTCAACCATCATTTTGCTCTTTATTCCATCCATTGTTTATCTATCTATTGGTCTGTTTAATGTATTTCCATCCATCATCTTGTCTATCAGTCCATCCATTGTTTTGTTCATATATTTATTCATCTGTCTAGTGTCTTTCCATCCATCAATCTATCCATCCATCCATCCATCCATCCATCCATCCATCCATCCATCATCTTGTCCTTTATTCCATCCATTGTTTTGTTCATCTATTTATTCATCTGTCCGTCTAGTGTCTTTCCATCCATCCATCCATCCATCCATCCATCATTTTGTCTGTCTGTCTATCTATCTATCCATTCATCCAACCATCATTTTGCTCTTTATTCCATCCATTGTTTATCTATCTATTGGTCTGTTTAATGTATTTCCATCCATCATCTTGTCCTTCAGTCCATCCATTGTTTTGTTCATATATTTATTCATCTGTCTAGTGTCTTTCCATCTATCAATCTATCCATCCATCCATCCATCCATCCATCCATCCATCCATCATCATCTTGTCCTTTATTCCATCAATTGTTATGTTCATCTATTTATTCATCTGTCCGTCTAGTGTCTTTCCATCCATCCATCCATCCATCCATCATTTTGTCTGTCTGTCTATCTATCTATCTATCTATCCATTCATTCAACAATCATTTTGTCCTTCATTCCATCCATTGTTTATCTATCTATTCGTCTGTCTAGTGTCTTTCCATCCATCCATCCATCCATCCATCATTTTGTCCCTCAGTCTATTAATATTAATATATTCTATTGGATTTCAGATTTCTTTCATTTAAGAAACTGTTTGGAAACGAGTAGCTTAAACATTAAACTGAATAGCTCCTTTTTATAATGTAAAATCATAAAAGTTAGGGATGAGATGAGATTTGTTTTTCAAAAATATCCTTTTCAAATATACAGCTCACTGAGTCTTATAACATGGGCAATTTAAATCTACAGTATGTAACTTGTCTTTGTCCTAAAATAAAGACTTCCTACAGATTTAAGAGAGCATATTGTGCTAAGGGTATGTAACGAATCCTCATTAAGATCTAGTAAATCCCTTTTTTGAAACATTACTCTTAACAAAACTCCATTCTCTACTGGGTATCATAATGTGTTTTTTTGCACTAACATGATTTAATACATTAATTGACATTTAGTACATGAATGAATAACTATGAATTGCCCATACCTGTAACATATTGTCCAGTAAGATGTTGCATTGCCATGGGCTTGAAGAAGTATCTTCTGATTGGAGAGGTTTTCTTGCAGCTCTACTCGATGCTCACGCTGGCCGTGACTTCTGCGATCAACTGTGGTTTTGTTTAAAACCTCAACAGATGAGATATCTGGGTGAAAGTAAAAGGCAGATTTCATTAAGCAACCAAAATACCTTTACTGAACAAACAATCACAGCAAACACAGAGAAACCCTTACAGAATTTTGGAACTTGTATTGTCCGTCTCTCTTCCCAGTCGAGCTCTCTCTGGACCACACAGATCAAATCCTTCCCCTCGAACTGGTTGAGCTGAAATTCGTAAGTCAAATTGACTTCTACTTTAATTCCATTGTACTTGTACTCAGTGATTGCTTGAACTGCAGCGTCATTTTCAGGAAGGATCCAGGAGATGTTGGGTACGACTCCATAACCGCTGTACCCACACACTGCATGCCAGATATGAGTGTATCTCTCTTCAGCCACAAATGCAAGGATTGCAGACGGCCCTAATAAACAAGATATACTCCTTTCTTAATAATGTGTAGGCCAGTGTTTTATCCTAACTCTTAAAGTCAGCATGCAAGGGAATAGTGTTCATCCATGACAATAAGTTTCCTAATATTGTATTGGATGTGAAATCATTATTTACAATGTTTATTTTGCTAGAGAATAGTGATATTCTTAAGGTGAACAAATAACCTGTGCAAGTTGATCCCTTGAAAAAAAGGTTTGTTTTGTTAATCTTTAGTCTGATCATTTGCTTCCATGGCTAGAGTTGCAAATCATTTTGCATTGATGACTATAGCCATAATATTCTTAAACATGCTTCTCTTACCATTAGTTTGCTACTAGGTAATGAGGTAATGCTTCATTTTGATGGTTCATTTGAGTATTAGTAGACTGTCTGCCTAATATCTGTTGATACTGCTCCATTAACAGACATTTAACCGACTATAAGATACTTTGCAAGTACATGTGAATTTACACGAACCCTAAACCCAACCCTAACAGTTTACTTATAATCTAATGACAATTAGTTGGCATGTAGATACAATGTAACTTAAATTTAACAAACAAACCATCAAAATAAAGTGTGACTGGTAATTATGTGCAATAAGATAGCCCTGCCCCCAACTTGATATTTAGTTTTAATTGGACATACATCAACATCCACGTAAAATCTCAGCAACTTATTGTTCACGCTTTTACAGCTTTACGCATGATTTAATGAAATTAATGTTTTTGAAATGTACTGTTTGAAGGCACAGTATGTAATTTTTGCCATTAGAGGGCGAATATTCACAACAAATAAAGGCATAGGATGCATCTATAAGCACCATTGTTCAGTAGTCAGTGCAGTGATCAGGTTTTATGTGCTGTCTCAGTTGCAAAATTGTTGAATTGACAAAAAACTTAGGGCCCTAAATGTCTCACAATGCACTGTGAAAATCAAGGCACATCGATACGCACTACATTCCCTTAAAGGAAGTGTAAAATATGAATTACGTGACTAATTTCATAAAACGCACTGACAAAGGAGAGATGCTTTTCTAAAAATGTATTAATTTATTTTTAACCTTAAACAAACATGGCTAGACAGGTTAGGAAAAAACTAGCAAAAATTAATAATGATTTAATGGTTGAAATGTTGCTGTTAAATGAACCATATTATCATATTATTTAGCTATATTGTAGTATATTGTATATTAAAGTACAATAAGGACATTCTCATGGTCACTGTGTAGTGAACCAAGCTTAATACTACCCTTACCAGTGGCCAAATTCGTGTACACCACCTACTGATGAATGGAGCTAGGGTGCTGACTGACATGCAGCCTTCGTTTGATGATGCCTTGATTAAAATCATAGGAGTTGTTTTCTTCATTACATCCTACAAGACTTACATCCATCACAATCTTTGTCACTGGTTAATATTGATAATTTCTCTTAATTCTTCAAAACATTTGCAATAATGTAATAAAAAAGTCAGCAAAATATACAACACGATTCTTAGTGGTTTTTGGATGTTTTTGAAAATATTGTGCCTTTAACATCAGAAAGATACTCCAATAAAGGTTAATAAGTGAATGATGTTCACTTTTATTTTCATTTTTGGGTCCTTTTATCTTTAAATATTCAGTATGATTATCTTGAGGACAATGTAATGACAAAACTTACCTAAGGATGGGAGGACAATGCTTTTGTTCTCTGGTTTCTCTAACCCCTGAAGCTCGATCGAACAGGTCACGCTGCATCCACCATGAGTGTAAATAGGAATACGTGCCACGCTCTGAGCAGCAATCATATGACTTGGCTGAAACTGGGTTTGACTCATTTCAAACTGACTGGAGCTGATGTCATTGCCAAGGCACTGTGCAGCCCAGCTAATGGCCACTACTGGAGTCTGGCTCTGCACTGAACACACCAACTGAACGTATGCAACACCACTGTCCCATTCAGTACTGCACTGCAGGGTAATACTGGGTGGAGCTGCAAACAAGAAAAAAACAAACAAATATAATGTGAGAATGTCTGATAGATAGCTAGCTGTGCTTTATTTTATCCATCTATCTGTCATTCAGGAAACCTTCATTCTGTCCATCTATCAAATTTTGTTTATCTGTTCACCCTTCTGTCCATTGTTTTTTCTATCTGTCAATACATCCATTCATTGCTTTGTTCATGCCATCCTTCCGCCCTTCTTTTTGGTTTGTTTGTTTGTTTCTTTCATTCTTTCTTTCTGTTTATTGACATTTTGTTCATATCTGCCATCCATCCATCTATCATGATCACGAGTGATCCAGGCTTGCAGCTTCACCCGGAATACAATTCTGTCACTTTATGAAGTACATTTCCCATCATGCAACTCACACACACACCTGTTTCGGTGTCATGAGAAATCGAGTCCCCCCTGACAATTGGGTCTGCCTAGGACCCTGGGTGATCCTTTTGGTTTACTGAAGTTTTTAATAGGTAGTTCGTAGTGCCTGATTTAAAAAAAAATAAACTATATATACATGCTTCTCCGAACAGCAACAGAGAAGGCTTGGCTAAGTGAAAAAATACTTTACTGCATCTCTATTTTTGTTAAACAGATTTTTGTACCTTACCTGGGCTCCAGAGGCAGTTTATAAACTTGTAGCGGAGTTGAACTGGAGTTTGATCGGGATATTCCATTATGCTGCATTATTGACGTCTGCAATCGGGTGCTCTGTTTACGCAACGTTAGCTCTGTTAGCGCGGTAATTTAGACAATAGACTGTTGACAGAGTAACGTTAACGTTCGTTTATAAAGGTTAAAACGATGCTTGTGCAGTTGTGTCGAATAGTATGCACTTATGGGAGTTTTATGGTACGTCTAAATTACTGTCTTTTGCAGACAGCAATGTATTTGCTATAGGCTAGTTAACCTTAGCATAGCTTCCCATCATTTATGAACTTGAAACTCCTCAAATACAGTTGGGCACCGAAATAGAAAAGAGTGAGACGTCTGCTGAGCCATTTCTTGGTCCTCCACCAGTCAAAAAAACAACAAAATAAAACAAACAAAAAAACTTGTTCAAGTTCATTTTACAGTCAGTGGTGCTGCACATAAAACAAAGTGATACTGTATGTAATGTATGCAAAAGTGAGGCAGAGATATCAAACGTCTGTCAACATCTTTTATGCATATTCATTCATTTTCTTTTTGGCTTAGTTCCTTTATTAATCTGGGGTTGCCACAGTGGAATGAACCGCCAATTTATCCAAAATGTGTTTTACGCAGTGGATGCCCTTCCAGCTGCTACCCAGCACTTGGAAACATCCATACACTCTCTTTCACACACATACAATAGGGACAATTTACCTATATTGCATGTGTTTGGACTGGGGGAAACTAAAGCACCCGGAGGAAACCCACGCCAACATGGGGAGAACATGCAAACTCCACATAGAAATGCCAACTAACTCAGCCAAGGCTCGAACCGGCAACCTTCTTGCTGTGAGGCGACAGTGTTACTCACTGTGCCACCACGCAACCCTCTATGTAATGTATTATCACATGCACTTAAAGCATCCTCTCCTGATACTGTCTGCCAACCCCCCACAAGCATCAATCCCCTCAATCAGCACAGCCATGATCTGCTAAATTTTCCACAAGCACCAAACCATCAACACAGCCACATTCTGCTCTGGCAAGTCAGTTTACTTTTACTTTTGTTCTGCCAGACCTCCCAGTCAGGGGTTTATTTAGTTTTATTTAGTTAATTTTAGTTTTTGGTATTCTGTGCATTAGAAAGAAGTTCTTTTAAAAAAAAGAACAGTTCGTTGAAGTATTATTTGTTTTTATTCTGTCTATTCAGCGTCCTTCAACAAGAACGGTGGTGGTGGGGTTCATAATATTCACAATGGTATTTTAGTTATTGGTTTAACCATGGATGAGGTAAAGGCTTATATGTTTTCAATGACGTTACTTGTTACATGTTCAAAAACATCAACCAATATTGCATATCCATGAGTATTATAATGGGTATAATTAAACAATACTTACACTATAACATAAATTAGAAGTGTAATAGAAAAAAATATATATTTTTACGCCATTTTGAATTTCACTCGAATACAAATACAAATACTTTTACCCCTCAACAAATACAAATACAGATACAAATACCGGCTGCTCCGCACATCCCTAATATATATATATATATATTCTCCAATGATTTCACACACAGCTGATCAAGGATTCATTACACAGACTATTTATACACCACACCTGCACACACACATAGCTTCTTATTATTGTAACGGCACAAAGCGTTTTCTTGTCCATCCATTCCTTTCTTTCTTTTTCTTTCTTTCTTTCTTTCTTTCTTTCTTTCTTTCTTTCTTTCTTTCTTTCTTTCTTTCTTTCTTTCTTTCTTTCTTTCTTTCTTTTCTAACTATTTATCCTTTATGCATGCTGCATGTAATCCTGCAACACGCTTGAACATTTCAACCTAACACAGAGAACAACAAGGCATTCTTCACAATGGCTATAGTGATGACAACATCTTACCACACACAGGAAGAGCAATCTGCCGGCTCTCTTGTTCCATGAAGACAGTATGGTTGACTACACACTCAATGACATATTCACGGGTCAAGCATGTAGGCACATTCAACACACTTCTGACAGAAAAGGATCCATTAAAGGATGTGACGTCAGACTGAACAGTACTGTTGATCTCTTGGGGAAGAACCCAGGACACGCTTGCTGCAGGAATTGCATTGGAAGCCAAACACTCAATGCGAATGTGATCAGATTTTTCTACCAAATCCACACTGATATTTGGAGGAAATGTCACTGAAAATCAAATTAGGTCAATGTTAGTATCTTTAGTTGTAGAGCGTACAATTCAGTGTGATGATGAACAGTAAATGTATTACCTGGCAACATGACTTTTGGATTTACTTCAATTGTGAACCTCAGGGAAACTCGATGTTTTCGGTATGAAGCCTGACACAAATACTCTCCCGCAAGATGCACATCTACAGGTCTTCGGATAAAGATATTGTTGCCAACCACATCTACATCCTCAGGCAGTGGTTGGTCTTCCCTGATTAAGTGATACAAAAGTGTAGATCAAGCATTCATGCTTTAGTCAGCACACTAGAATCTAAAGTTTTGATTTGAACAATGCATGATAATGTTGATTACATCTATTATTGTCTTGAATATTTTCTTATTTAATTATTATTTCATGCCCAGGCCTGTCAACACTGGGATATAAAAATAAACCATTCTATTACCTTCCTAACCAGGAGCGGACTGGCATACTTTTTGGGCTGGGCTGATCATCGTCTTAGATCTGATCGGCCCATAAAAGGCTTAGCAGTCTATCGTTTTTTCTGGCTTATTATTTGACAATGCTGTGATCTGTGACTCTCTGAAAGTAAGATGGGTTTTTTTCTGACAGACTGACTGGGCAGGCCCATGTGACACTGCAGCCCATTGGTTCTTTTCTTTATTGACATTGGGCTGGCCCAATCACAAACTCCTAGTATTTTGGGCTCTGTGTGAGCGTGCAACGTCGGTGTGTATTTGTCAAAATAGTCGAGGGTCAGAGATGGAGAAGAAACGGATAGGAGGCACAGTGAAATTGCAGGAAACACACTGGTGTTTCATTTAGCAGTTCTGAAAAGTTCTCCGTTCATACTAGTACACGCCTAAAAACGCAAATCACGTGACCACACATACTCTGCCTCTGCCAAGAGTTGCAGCCAGTAGTTCAGCTGGTGCTTTGAGCATAAACCCTAGGGGAGAGTATAGTCCATGTCGGACAGTTTACAAAGATCTACTGCTGGATCTCATCTCACTATACTTGTTAAATGTGATATTGAATTTATCTTGTTGTCTCTATCTAACGACTCTTCTGTCTTTTGAATCACTTGTTCTCAGGTAACTCTGTTTAGACTGAGTGCAAAGATAAGCTAATATATTAATATATGTAACCACGTACACTGATTGATTGATTGATTGCTTACCTTTTTTTGTACAAATTTATTGTACGTTATACTTTTATAATGGCCATTATTGATTATTAAAACTGATGTTCAGCAAAAGAGACAGGGTAAAGTTCAATCTTTTGAATGAAAGTAAAAGGAGGCAGTTATTTTATAGGCACTGTTTTGTTATAAATATGCAGAGTGCAGATGACGGTCATATAAATATAAAGCTACATGAGGATGTTTGGTGTCTGTTAATCATAATATCAAAATTAAACTAATTTCCTTATATTATGTTTTCATTGTTAAGATAATGAAACAGCAAGCAGGATGAGTTCAATGAGGTTATAAAGTACACTGTTCTCTGTGAGTTTTCTCTGTGAGTATGAGTTTTTGTTATGTTTATTATTTAATATAGGCTGAGTGAAGTGTATTGAATAAGCTAATTTGGCTGTAGTGTGTGTGTGTGTGTGTGTGTGTGTGTGTGTGTGTGTGTGTGTGTGTGTGTGTGTGTGAATAAGTGTGTATGGGTGTTTTCCAATACTGGGTTGTGGCTGGAGGGGCATCTGCTGCATAAAACAAATGCTGTAATTGTTGGCAGTTCATTCCGCTGTGGCAAACCTGATAAATGAGGGACTAAAGCGAAGGAAGATAAATGAATCAAGTGTACTTTTTTAGAAGTGTATAAAATCTTTATGGAAACTATACAAAAATTAAATTGAGATTAATGTTTGTATTTATTAAATATATATATATATATATATATATATATATATATATATATATATATATATATATATATATATATATATAACATGCACAGATAGATAGCATTTTGATTGAATGTAGTGGGTCGCTTTGGTCCAAAATGCCAGGACCAATTTTGTGCTCCAGTCCAGCCCTGTTCCTATTCCAGCATATGATTTACACAGCGGATGCCATTCCAGCCACAACCCAGTACTGGGAAACACATATATACTCTCATATTCACACACACTCGTACACTACGGACAATTTTGTTTACCCAATTCACCTATATCGCATGTCTTTGGACTTGTGGGGGAAACCAAAGCACCCAGAGCAAAGCCACGTGAACACTGGGAGAACAGCAAAACTTCACATGGAAATGGTGACTGGTCCAGCTGGGACTTAGACCAGCAACCTTCTTGCTGTGAGGTTATAGTTCTAACCACTGAGCCATCGTGCCACCCCTACTTTTTTTAACTGGTTATGCTCATTTAATATAAGCTGTGTTTAAGATTAAATGACAAGGTGGACATGTTTTAATGCTATTACGTGCGTTTGTCTGTTTAACGAAAGCAGCTTGGGGAAATGCATCTATTACATAAATTGACAGATTCTGAGGTTATATAACAGGTTGTATGGCTAATTATATTACATTTAGAGCAATGTGTGCCTCCTGGTTATTCGACGGTACTATGTGTGTAATGAGGATCGCCAATGTGTGATGAGTGGAAGCATAGCCCTCGCCAACGCTGATGCGCACCTCTCGAAAAATGTAACTACACATCACAACAACGCATAGCGCAAGCTCTGTGATTGGTCGGTTTGGTTTCACTGACGAGTGTGGGCAGGACCAAGAGCTGCGTGAACCCGTTGGACGTGAGCGTCGAGTCTTGTGAAGATGTTTTGTTTTGTGTTTACTTCATGATTAAAGTTGTTGCATGTCCCTCGGTTCCCGCCTCAAGTTTGAGTTTGAGTTACTTCTATAATAAGGTAGCATTCAGGAAAAAAAATAACACCGGCGTAAACTCGACACAGGAATATAATAAAACCCGCTGCAAGCTAGCATTTTGGAAGTGTTATTGCAAAGCAACAGAAACAGCGCCCAGAAGTATAAATGCACGACAATGTGCAAGGCATGCGCCGTGGGTCACGCCGATCACTCAATGCAGAAGTATTAACCAGACTTAATGCCACCTTTCATAAGCTAGGTTTCCATTCATCTATTTTTATGCACATTTTGAGTATGCGCATAAAAAATTGGTTGACAAAATTGCCAAGAAGTATAGAAGTTTAGAAAATGCGCATAACAGAGTAGGATAAACTTTTTATTCAATATAAAGATGTGCAAAAACTACGATGGAAACACTTACCAAACAAAATTCCAGTATGTGCATTAAAAGTCGTTAAAAATTAAATGTGATTTTGTTACAAAAGGTCATGTGATGATAAAATGTGTGTAGATAGATAAAACCAACAGACATGGGAAATGTTGGTTTGGTCATTCTAAACTGCCTTAACCCTTTCAGTATTAGTGATATTCATTCATTCATTCATTCATTTTCCCCAAGGTCGCCACAGCGGAATGAACCCACAACTTATCCAGCAAGTTTTTTACGCAGGATGCCCTTCCAGCTGCAACCCATCTCTGGACAATTTAGCCTACCCAATTCACCTGTACCACGCGTAGGGAGAATACGCAAACTCCACGCAGAAATGCCAACTTAGCCAAGGTTCGCTGTGAGACGACAGCACTACCTACTGCGCCACTGCCTCGCCTTATTAGTGATATTATATTATTAATTACCTCCAGAACTGTCAAGAGCGTCTGTGCTCCGCATCTAAAGCCTTCAAACACCACTATGTGTTCACGTCGGCATTGTCTTCTGAGGTACAAGTAATTTGTTAAATAAAGAAAAAATTCCCGCAGCTTCTCTGCCGCAGCAAATTATGCTTTTATTTCTGATATTTGGAGCCAGTTACTCAGGAAGTGACGATTTTGTTCTCTTTGACTTCTTAGATGGAGACTACTTTATTCGCATATCTTTTATGCACTATTCCATTTTTGTGCAAAAACTTAATTAGCATCTTTGGATGGAACATAGCTATAGATTAGAAATACAGAATAAATGTAGTGAACATTATTTAATTGGATGACATTGAGATAAAATGGTAAAGCTTGAATCATTGGAAAAACAGGAGAGTTGACAGTTATGTTCATGACATACTTATGACTTGCAGGATATGATATTATACAACTAACCTTGAACAGATCATTTTATAACTTGGTACGTTGCCTCTAACATCCATTCCAACTGAAATGTCGAAGTCCCCCTCCTGAAATACCAATGCCGTCTGATTCTCATTATTAACAGCATGATCGAAGTCCTTTAGTTGAATATAGGACAGGTCTAGATGATAAATAAACCAATTAGGAACAGTTTAAAATATTGCCACTACATGTGTGCAATTGATCCATATAGATAGTCTTGGTTGACTTACAGTATATAGGCAAGGTGATTGTCCTAGTGCTTGTGAAAGGGAAAAGCATGTAGCCAAAAATGCAAGACACATTTTCTCCTTCATAAGAATCTGATGGAAACCGATATGAACTGACAACCGAGTCTGATTCTGAGATGTCTCTCTGTAAAAGCAACGTGTTTCTAAATTCAGGAAGTTTCCAAGTGATATTAGGATGTGGTCTGCCATCTGTCGCTCTACAGATGACCTCCTGAAAGTCTTCTCCTCCTTCTTGGATCAGGACCGTCTCCATGCTCACAACAGGAGAATCTGTCAAAAAAAGAGAAAAGTGCCAAAAATAACAGGGGAGGTTCATTTTAACACACTTTTCTTCTGTAGGCAATTGAGAAGAGTTTACAAAGCTGCTGGAGATGCTAACTATAGCTTTACCAAGGACACTGGTCTTAGGCCCCGTTTACACTAGTGCGTTTTAGTTTTAAAACTGCGTTTTAGAATAAAAACGATCCGCGTCCACACTCGCGTTTTACCCAGCGTTTCTGAACTGCTCTCCGTCCACACCAAAATGCTGAAAACGCACATCACGTGACCACACACACACTCTTTGGCAAGCGCTGCAGCCCATCTACCCAGATGAGAGCTCTGCTAGTCGGACTTCTCATCAAGCATCTCCCGCTAGATCTAATCTCATTATATTTATTAAACGTGATATTTCATTCATCTTGTTGTCTTTATCTAACGACATATTCCCTGACTTTGGTCATTGGAATCTATTACTTGTTCTCAGGTAACGTGTTTTGGCTGAGCGCAAAGATAAGTTAATGATTAATGTAAGCACGTACATTCTGTATATTGATTGATCGCTTGCCTTTATTTCCTATAATGTATAAACTTATTGTATGTTATACTTTTATAATGGCCATTATCGATTATTAAAACTGATATTCAGCAAAAGAGAGGGTATGTTTCATATTTTCACTGAAATTAAAAGGAGACAGTTGTTATCGGCTCCGTTTTATTATAAATATCCACACAGTGAAGATGATGCTTATTGTGCTGCACGACGCCTCAACATTTCTGCTGTCTGTTTAGTTGTTAATATTAAAATGAAAATAGGCAGTTCCTTATATCATGTTTACATTTTATTGTTGAGAAAGTGAAACAACGTAGCCAGGGTGATGTGAATTAAGTTATAAAGTACACTGTTCCCTTTGAAGATTGACGCGTGTTCTCGGTATAGTCTGTTTTCCATATCAAACTGAGAAGAAGAGATGCAGCTTTGATCAAACTTGCGAAGTCTGAACTTACACGGAGAAGATTCAGGACTGAACTGTGTGTGTTAGGCTACTTAATATTGAGGAAAATCCCCAATCAGAGAGGCGAATGTCTGCAGCCCCGCCTCCGTTTTCAGATGTCTCCGTTTTCCATCATCCACACTAAGACGGAGCAGCAGCATTTCAGAATGAAAACGGCCTCTCCAGAGTTTTCGAAACGCTCCGTTTTCGGCGCTCGAGAACTCCGGCGTAGTGTGGACGGATGGCGTAACCGAAGCAAAACGTATGCGTTTTTAAACTAAAACGCATTAGTGTAAACGGGGCCTTAGACGTCATGATACAAGAAGGGTGTCTTCACTTAACAACTGGGTGACGTTTGTGTGTAGTATTTCAGTGCAAACCACTTGTATTCTGGCTTGGCTAAATGGTAGGTCCAAAATGCATGGAAATGGCCTAGTTAACGTGCTCAACAAAACACCACTACAGCTATGTGTAAAACCTACAACTTTTTGACATGGCATTTATAGATGTGTGTGTACACAAAGATTACAAACCAAAAATTTGTTTCAGTTAATGTTGTGCTAGAATGCAAAAATCAAAGCAGGATGTAATTAAAAGACATTAAATGTACATTTTTAGCAATCAGGGTTGCTAATGCAAATGCAAGCTGCTGAAGAGAAACAGAAAGGTAACAGAAAGTGGCCCAGGATCTATGCCCAGTGCATGTGTTATCAGTTTCAAGTCAGCGAAAAGCTTTGTTTGTCCCTGGGTGGGCTCGAACCACCAACCTTACAGTTAACAGCCAAACTCGCTAACCAATTGCACCACAGAGATTTGGAGAAAAAGTGTCCTACAGTGGTAAAAACGCTGAACTTTGCCCTTAAAAGGTCTGGCGGATGAACCTAAATAAAAGTTCTTAAAAAGAGAGACAGAAAGGAAACTAAATCCTCAACGTGGGCCTCAAACCCACAACCCTGAGATTAAGAGTCTCATGCTCTACCGACTAAGCTAGCCGGACTACTTGCCCAGGTATGTTGAGAGATCGTCACCGTTTTCATAATTTTTTCACCGTTTTCACCCTACCCATGAGAACATTGTGCTAAATCATGACGTCATCTTGTTATGCTGAACAGAAAGTGGCCCAGGATCTATGCCCAGTGCATGTGTTATCAGTTTCAAGTCAGCGAAAAGCTTTGTTCATCCCTGGGTGGGCTCGAACCACCAACCTTTCGGTTAACAGCCGAACGCGCTAACCGATTGCGCCTCAGAGACTTGGAGAAAAAGTGTCCGACAGTGGTAGAAACACTGAACTTTGCCCTGAAAAGGTCTGACGGATGAACCTAAATAAAAGTTCTTGAAAAGAGAGACAGAAA